AAAAAAAAAAAAAAAAAAAAAGGAAAAAAAAGAAATGAAAAATACGATCATCTTAAATTATCGTGATAAATGGTTCAGCTATAAATTCTCATATCTAAAATTGAGCATCAACTTGTTTATACATAACTAAGAATAAATTCCTCAACAAGCATAATCAAATCAATCCTATTCCAATCTCTATTCGTCGTAGATTCACATTCAAAGTTCAGAATTCGCGATTACACAAAAGGTTTTGCAATCGTTCGATTTTTATTCGTTTTCTTTTCAAACATTGAAAGACCGATAATTCTCTTCCTCGATCATAATCTTTCAAAACGATCGATATGTGTCTGCTCGAGTTTACCTAGACCTGCGCAACATCACGCGTAATAGTCCTCACCGCGTTACGCAATTGAGCTCGCGGAATAATTCCCTTCAATTCCACGACAACGTTACTCATTATCTACTTAACTCGGTCATCGAACTCTCTCTCTCTCTCTCTCTCTCTCTCTCTTTCTCTCTGTCGCTTTTTATCGCTTATCCTCGCAACTACGTGCACGTTTTTTTTTTTAAATTAAAATTATTCTAAGAAAAGGGAAATAGAAAAATATCGGTTTTCTTTTCTCGAGATCGAAGATCGAGATCTGAGATCGTCGTCACTTGCGATTTCCTTGCGAGTCGTCAACAAGAACAGCTATTCGGGTTAATGCTTCTTGGCAAGCGAGGCAACCGGTCGTTGAGCTCGTTGAAATTTATAAAAGAAATAATCAAATTTATTCGAAAATTTCTACGACGATGTTAGAAACAGAGCGCACACAGTGAGCTACAATGTAAACGCGCGTGAAATCGTTGCACGTCTCGGTCGAACAATTCATGGATATTCAAAGAAGCAAAGTCTTGAAATTTAAGGGATGATCCATCGATCGGTCAAGATTATTGTCGTTTTAATAAATAGAATAAAGAATCGAGTTTATAAAACTTAACGTAACGATAGTTGCAAACGATTGATTGTTTTGAAATTC